TAAAGAGCTGTAAATGAGATCACACATCTCAGCAGCAGTGCAGGAGACACACCTGGCAACACAGTAGGCCTTGCAAAACTTTTCTGTTTCACTCAGTACCCTTTACTATCCCTTAGTAGTAATAATCTTTTTAAAATAACCTTAACAGTAAAACAAATACAATATTCACAGTATGAATACATTGCTTTTTTAAATACTCCTTGCTTTATCACTGCTTGGTGGCTGGGGAGTTCTCCCTCACTAAATGTACTGTATTACAATCTCTCATGGGCAATTATGTGACTGTATTACATAACAGCTTTTTTTTTGCTTTAGCAATAGGCTACTGCTACCATTTCATTGCACAATTTTTACTTTCAGATTTCATTACTAATCTTTGCTAGATTACTTTAGGTTAATTTCAACCTAGTAACAAACCTGCCAATAAATTTGATCACACCATTTTAGTTGTAATAGTTGCTGAATGAGAATTTCTCTTCAGTCCTATAAACATTCTATATTCTACATTATATTAGGCACTACTTCAAATGCTGGCAATGTACCCAGAACTGGACAAAATAAGATACTAATGGTCAGGTAAAAAAGAGTACTAGCAACTACAAATCAGAATATGAAACGCATGTGTCAGTGCAGCCCCATTAAATGCCTTCCAAATTAGCTTCATAAGGCACTGGGGCAATTTAACACAGTTAAGCAACCATTGTTTATTTCCATACCAAGTTGGAGGGAAAAAAAAAAAAGTAAAAAATAAAATTAATTACTTGACTAAGTGCTACAGTTTGCACTTCTTTTTCTTAGGAATAACCTCACTACAGCCGATGGGACTACGTGTACGAGTAAGGACTTTGCACATTCTTCAAAAACAGGTCTAGTATTGTCTTGTAGTAAAACAGAGTTTTATAAAAGTGTGATAGTTAGCCCTTGAATGTCACTGTTAAGTAGTCTAATGACACGACACCACACATTAACTTAGCTAGCAATGAATTATTATTTAAGCACTATGCTATTATGTTTTCAACATAGCCTGACAGGATAACCAATCTGATTATGATTATATAAATACAAGTTTGGTTTAGAAGGTAGAGGTCACTACTTGGGCGCTTTTATAGTATGGGCTAATTTCTTTTTCTTTTTTTCTTATTCCCAGCCTGTAGTTTGTTGCACATATGTTTGCAAATCATCATATAAATGAAAGTGCTGGCAACACAATGAGATGCTGTCTAAGTCTACTTGCTAGCTGCACACTGTAATAGCTGTCACTATAAACCACCGTACCATCACAGAAAGTCACTAGAGTCAGGCTTCCCCTGAGTTCATTCAGATGCCTATTTCAGGTTAAGATAAATGACATGGCCTGCAAATTTCTTTAAGTGCATTAACCGTAAACGATGGCTGGCACAGCTGTGGACTGCACCTTACACTGCAGGTAGGTCAAGTCCTCCCCACTCCACCAAGGTATTTAACAAAACCAGTGAATGAACAAAACCATTATAACAGTGATTAAAGATACAGAAAACTGCAGTTTCAAAGTGTTGCTATCTAACCCTTTGAAGATGATCATACATCTGAGAGCAACAATGAAACAAAACCTGAGACATTAAAATACGCACTGAAATCCCCAATATAAGCATCACCGTAGGCTCTTCTGTCTTTACATTTCCATCTAAGGCTCTAACTTGACACCAAGAGCTCATAGTCTAAGTTTGCACAGCAGGATGAACCAAGCCTTTGGTCTAGTTTTGTAAAGTGTACTAAAACACTCAACTTGAAGGTCTTCGGTGTTTGACTATTTTGCGGACTACCACACATACACTATAAAACCGACATACAAAAAGATGTAAATAAGCTGAGAGGATAGATTGAGCCTCTCTTGAATTTTGGCCCAGAAAATCTCTGAGTGAAATTACTACTGATAGGAGGAGTTATGTCAAGAACTTGGTCCAGTCACTGAACTCAAAAATCATCAGAGATTTCATGTTCCTCAGGAAACTTATCTTTGTCTGAGCCCTTCTAACTGGATGGCAGCATGGCACTCCACCACCCTCCTAGGGGCTGCAGTCAAATCCAAATTCCTTTGATAAGGTCCCAAAGTCTCTTAAGCCAAACAGTCTGTAGAAGGAGTCATGTGTGCCTTTGCCTGCTCAGAAACTAACAGTTCTGTTAATAAAAAGTTAAGAGATTTTTAGAAAAATGTGTTATACACGTTTGACTTTTCTAACGAAGTTTAGAGCTTTTTATTCAGCTGTTAATTTTTCTATGGAAGAGCAAACCAAGTATTTTTCAGATGACAGGATATTTCTTACTATCCACTCCTAATTAAAATAGGACTTGAGAGACTCACTAAAAACACCATCATAAACCTGTGTGGGAGATTTCTTTTTTTTTTTTCCCCTTAAAGTGAATATGTTGAGAAAGCAATGAGACATGAAAATGGTAATATAGCATGAAGAAACAGTAGCAGAACCAAAAAAGGGACAATAACCTCAATCTTTTGGTAGTTCCCTTTTATTCTATGTTTAGTTCATGTATGACTTTAGATGAAGCCAACTGGATGTACAAATAGTTGATGAAATCTTCATGAAATCAACCCAGGGGGTTTTGCCACTGACTTTTACAGAGAAGCATTTCATCCTCTATGAATCAAGAAGAGGATAACCTTCCACTATTTCTTAATCTAGCAACTGCAGTTGCAGCGAAGTTTTAAAAACTGGTTTGCCAACTATCATGGGCAGGACTGTCAAACTAGACTAGAGGAGAAACAAGTTTTGAACAAACAGAAGAGATGACGACATAACCTTCATAAGAAGTTGTGAATGATTCTTGAACAAGCATACCTGCTCTAGTAAATAACTCAGCTTGGATGCTGAAAATGAACTTGAGGCATAAAAAAACCCCTCTTCAGTTTTAATGAGCTCAAAAGCAATCCAGCTGTATCTATTTGGAATGGCTCTGAATATACTCTACCTGGGCCAGCATCTATAGTACAGTTCTGTCTATTTTAATCTCCTAATATGAAATATAGATAGGAAAACTATATTTGAGCAGTGGTTCTTTTGGCAAACATTAACTGAAATTAATTAAACTTTTGATGTTATTCCTTCTCCTTTCCTTATTCTTTGTTTGTCCAATTCTGTGTAATCATGCAATATAATTTGAGGATCCTTTGTGAATGTATGAGCGAATGGTGGAATACAAACTCTGTCTAGATTGTTATGAGCTGACGACTCTGTCACTTTAAAATGGAAAGATAAACTGTTCTAGATATCCTGTGGAGTTACAGATTACATCTCTGAAGGGTGAGGTCTGAAATCTGGACAAACTGTTCATAATTTCTAAGGATTAACAGAACCGTTATCAGTTCAACTTTGTTTTTTTTTTAATGTCTGCAGCATAAAAATTGGGTTCTGGAGGTACTTCAGAGTTAGCAAAGACATAATTACAGCTCCAGGACAGGAAGGGATCACTTAAGTCACAGGGTCAGCAGGCTCAGAGACATGTCACATCCATACATAATGGGTTATTTAAAAAGTCATACGAAACAGGTATCAGAAGTGATTTAACTCAAATACGTTTGCCTAAAGCCCTTGATCATTTTAAATGTGACCAATATTTTTAAGTGGAGTTGTAAAAACAGCTTTTCAGGCTTTATTCAAACACAGTTTTTCCGTTACTGTGTATCATATACATATATAAATCTCTCTCTTACTGCACTAGTTTTTTGGCATTAGCATTATTTTTTTTAATTATTTTTTTAATTACTGCACTAATCTTTTGGTGTAAATTTAACATAGAATCATAGAATCATAGAATCACTAGGTTGGAAAAGACCTTAGAGATCATCCAGTCCAACCGTATCTGTCCACCACTAAACCATATCTTTCAGCACCTCATCCACCCGTCTCTTAAACACATCCAGGGACGGTGACTCCACCACCTCCCTGGGCAGCCTGTTCCAGTGTGTGATAACCCTTTCAGTGAAGAACTTCTTCCTTACATCCAATCTAAACCTCCCCTGGCGCAGCTTGAGTCCATTCCCCCTCGTCCGATCATCTGTCATTAGGGAGAAGAGACCAACACCCACTTCTCCACAACCTCCTTTCAGGGAGTTGTAGGCAGTGATCAGGTCTCCTCTCAGCCTCCTCTTCTCAAGGCTAAACAAGCCCAGTTCCCTCAGTCGCTCCTCATAAGACATATTCTCCAGACCCTTCACCAGTTTTGTGGCCCTTCTCTGGACACGCTCCAGGCCCTCAATGTCTTTCTTGTAGTGAGGGGCCCAAAACTGAACACAGTACTCGAGGTGCAGCCTCACCAGTGCCGAGTACAGGGGGAGAATCACATCCCTGGACCTGCTGGCCACGCTGTTTTTGATACAAGCCAACATAGTAAGTATTGGGAACTATTATGGAGTATATATATACTTGAAAAGAGCTTAGTTCACAAAACAAAACTGCCCATTAATGCAATCTTGGGCTCCATTCTTCATGTAAGGTACACACTGTTCAGAGTAATTTCAGTGCCTCAGCTCCCTTTAGCATCAATGGAGTCGGCACATCCAGTGGTTGGTGCAGTATATCTGCGTCAGTTGAATTAACTTAGACAGTATCAAGGCCCCTCTCCTCTCTACTAATAAAGTGTAATGTGTTTCCACATGTGCTTATTTATTTAAAAAACAAACAAAACCAAAACCAACCAGATTTATTGGAATACATGAGAAGAAGTTTAATGCATTCAGCCCAAGGAAGATACTTTTTATATTGGATAAAAGAGCACTAAAGAAGGAAACATATATTTATTTTAGAAATTATTTCCATCCTGCCATTATTTAAGTGCTTTCCTAAACAGTGGTTTAAATATGCATATTATAAAATTATGAGAAGTATGAAACCCCAAAACTCTATCAATTAATCTGTGTCGAGTGATAAGGCTGTTTCATACTGAAGCATCCAGTTTTCTTGAATCTACAGGCATTGTATCCATTCGCAGCCAAAAAAAATACTTACTGATTGCAGAGTCATAGGAGGTTGAATTGTGCTCATCTCGGATAAGAGGAAATGGTGACAGGTAAGCATGTGTACAGTTCTTAGAAGGTGACTGGTTAGCTAAAGTGAAAGAAAGCGTAAGATTAGTATTTTACTGCCTTAACAATAAAATACTTTAAGCCTGTTCTTCAAATGGGCAAACTGAGTTTCGTAGGTCAAGATTTCAGGTCCTTTCCCAGGCAATAGCTTCACAGTGGATTTTGCTTTGGTAAGAAATACCAGCCTTGTTATCCAGCCAAGGATATTCCTTAAAGGGCAACACAGATTTGTACTATGGGAACAGTAAAGCAGCCTTGCTGAAGACAAGCATCTGGCACACTGCAATTTATATGCAATGCATACGTATGCTATTATATGCATATGTACCTTTCTCTTGTGAGAGCTTATTATGTCTGTCTCATTATTGCATGTCTCACCCAAAAAAAAAAAATAGAAAGAAAAAGAAAACAACACAGGAAATTACTTTTTCTCTTGTGAAAGTACAATGAAAAAAATCATCTTCAGAAAGTTTACTGTCTCAACACATATGAGTTTACTCTATGGAATCAATAGCCCCAGAGAAGAGTTATTTCACTCTTTATATTAAATGCTTATAAAAACATCACCTTCATCCTTGAGAAAGATAAAGGTTGACTATAGCTTAAACCACATTTAAATTTCAGATTCCTGACCACAGGATTCTTAGGATAAATAACAAGGAGAAATTAACTACAGGGAATATTACATTTGTCACCTAAGACCAAACAACATACTTAGCAAAATATGGATTACTGAAGTCAAATTTATATGATAGCATGTGTTTGTCACAAGGATTGTGGAAATCTCGCAATAAGGAGTGGGAGGTCTGTACCATAGGGACAAAGACAGAAAAAGAAGTTTTGCTTGCCCTCTTCTTCACAGGAGATTTTGGTTGTAAAATACCATCAGATCTTCCAGAATCCTGGCACCCAGTGAAAGAATGCAAAGGTCACCTGTGAATTTAGTAGAGGGATTCTTCTGAAGATGTCCTACATTACTTTCACAGTGGAATTGCGCAAGCCCTCCTTAACCCACTCGTAGAACTAGTTGCAGGAACTCTCCAAGCAAAAATTCATGTACCATCTAACCACTTTGCTCTTTTTCCCTAAGTTACAGACTTAACTGTTTAACAATAAGTGACAAGAGACTGTCCTGATAAGAATCGACTGAGGTTAACAGGAGAGCCATAACACCTACAACATAAGCTGATAGTTAATCTTGTCCTAGGGTTTCTTTTAGTACATGTTACAAAATGTTTGTCAATAATTTATTTTAGGGTAGCCATATGAAGCCATATGAAATCCAGTGATTCATAACATTAATAAAAAAGAAAAAATCCACAACATTTTTGAGAACAAACTACTGTAGATAATGTAAATGGAAAAAGTTACTTACTATACCAAAAATTCCACATGCTGGCATTATTCTCTCCTACATTTCCACTAAACCAGCACCTCCAGAAGAAACCTTCGTGATGGAAAGTGGCCTTCTCTCCCTACGGGTTGGGGGTGTGGGGAAGGAATAAAAAGCTTTTATCATACAATTTTATAATGGCTGAAAGAATCAAGTTCAACTGAAACTAGATGTTGAGTTAAACACCACCACCATCGTAACAGAATGCAGCCTGTCTAAATATAGGATAGCTATAGCATATCTAAACACTTATACTTCCTTTGAAAAAATGTCATGTTGCAAAAGTAGCATCACAAAAGACAAATTCATTTTAGAGTTGATTACAACTGGTTACAAGAAGTTTTGAAGCAGGCTAAGCCTCCAGAAGTTAAAAATGAGTATATTCTCATGTTCATACTGAAGTAAATTCTATCAAAATAAACACATCCAAGAAACCTACAAATATAATTCTCATTATAAAGAAAAATGACCATACTTACCGCAACATCTTCAGGTGCTTTTGAACACCTTCCTATTTCTGTAGCAAGAAGCCAATAATCAGTTCCAAATGCCACCAAAAAAAGCAAAACCCCCAGAGCCGCAAAGAAGCCTCCAAAAAATATCCCTACACTCAGTTTCATTATCAAAGGTATCTTCAAAAAAAAAAGAAAAAAAGAAAGTACTTTCCTAATTACTGAAGAAGCAGTAAAATAAGTAAAATTTTTGGGAAAGTGACTAAAATGCTGTTTGGAGAATGTAGCTCATATCTGTAAAAGTTTCTCTTCACTTGACTTTCTGCCTGTGTTTCCCAATGCCCTGTGAGCTGATTTGTGTCTCCTAATTTGTGTCCCATGTGGCTGACTCAAGCCTGACAGATGAAAGGAGCCTTCTATTTTAGGACACTGATGGCAGAGCTTCATTCTGTTTCTCTGTCTGGGCGAGGCCAGTCAGAAATAGTTGACCTTCCCCTAACTAATCAGGGATTCACTTGAAATATTATTGCAGCTGGTGCATCAACATCAGCGGAGATGGCAACGGAGATGCAGCGGCCCTGTCCATCCACGTGAACTGTGTTACAGGGCACACAGTAGCAGCAAGAACTTCCAAAGTTCAGGCTTGGTGGCGAATGTTTCCTTGGCTGCTAGCGGGGAAGGAAACAGATGCAACACTTGGGAAGTTACTACAAGTCACGTTACTAAATGAAGGCTGAGATTTTTTTATGGAGCTTTAAAACATGGGAGCCAAATTGCAGAGATGCCTTTGAAAAATCCTAACCTTTCTTACAAATACAGTTAACTTTAAAAATCTACATCTGACCCTCAAGTAATAGCTTTAACGATACTAAACTAAGCATTTAACTGCTTTCTTTCTTCAGATGCATTTCATTTGGATGTATCCTGAATGCATGCAACTACAAATTCCTCCCATCACCTGATAAAGAAACTTTAATCTTTTTAAAAAAGAAGACGCTTTCCCTTAAGTGTGCTTTGGCCACTTTGGAAGGGGGAGAGGCAACACATCTAAATTCCAAGGACTCATTGCACAAGAAAAAGGCTTTTCCAACAACTTCTTTTCATGCCAAACAGGTCTTCCCAAACATCCCTCATGGATTACAGGGCATGCTCCTGTAGAGATTTGTTGAGTTCATTATGCACCAGATCCTGCAATCCTTACCCAATAAATTTCTGCTGGCTTTATGTAGCACCAGAGTAGAGAATATTCCACTGATTCCTATGCTGGGAAGTGTTGGGACCAAGAAAAAGCTGACATCCTTTTGCACCAGAAAACATAAGTCACAAAATTGTATTGCAACAGACTTAGATCTTCAGAGGGACTCCCAATATCCCAGTATCTGTTTGGACAGTGCAGGAGTGTGCTGAAGGAGAGCAAGGAAAAGACTGTTTCTACCACCTCTCCTCATTTCCAGACACATGAACCAGAGATGTGTCCTGAGTGGTTTTTTTGACACTACATTATCTGCCTAATGCCCTATTCGCATTCGTTACAAGTCATATTTTATTTAAGCCTGTTACTACACTAACTTCAAACACAAGCACATCTGATATTTTGTGGCCTTTCTGCACTGCACAGTTTCAGTGTATGCAGAACAGTAAATTAATTTTCAGTCAAACACTCTCTTTGACATATTTGCTTTCCTTGACAGCCACTAATGCAGTTCATTTTGCTACAGCAGAAAGTGATGTTTGGATACATCACTTTGAAAAGCGATGTTTTATTCTTCTTAAAGAAAAAAAAAAACTTCAGGAAAAAGAACACACAGAATGTGTTATGAAAGAAAATAAGGCATATATTAGGAAAGAATTACTGGCCAACCAGAATAATGCTTTAACTTTTGGTCAGCCCTGAATTGGTCAGGCATGTGGATTGGATGATTATTTGTAGGTCCCTACCAACTGAAATATTCTATTCTATTCTATTCTATTCTATTCTATTCTATTCTATTCTATTCTATTCTATTCTAATGTGTCTAAAATAAAATTTTTTAAAAATGTAGGATTCAGTTCAGGACTAACATACCCAAATTTAGACAATTTCACATGAGCTAGGTGTCTTTCCATTATAATCAAACAGTGACCTAGTCAATACAGTCAGTGCAGCCTGGAGAGCTGTTCAGCACAACCTCGATCAGACGGAGGGAGCTCAGTTCAGTCACTCAGGCAGACACCCAGCTCTAGCTAGTTCCCAGGGCATCATGCTGGCTCTCAGCTGCCACACCAGAAGGGCATGGTATCTCTCCCAGTTTTCACTGTCTCTGCCAGCCCCACACAGGGGTCTTAGGTACCCTCAAATGGCAGTAGGAGCCTATGTGATGGTGACTGAATCAAGCCTGGAGAGAGGGATACAGTTGCCTTACTGTCATCTCCCACCATTGGATGCTCCAGGGTGTCTAAGGCATTTTTGCTACATTTGGCATGAAGGGACAAGGGACTTAGGGGAGACTAACACCTTTCTTGAATGACGACTGCATGCCAGGTTCACACCACCAAGAAGAGATGCTAGAGACTTGGTTAGATGGCTAAAACCAGTCTCCATTAGTTGGTCAGGTCATTCTGGAGACACTACTGAGTGTTTTAACCAGACCTTCATCGACTCTAGTGGCAGCACAGATCCCTGTTTCATAGGGACATGTCTGAATGCAAAGGTTTATCTGGAACTCAGTGGGCTGGAGTTCCCAACCATTTTGCTGTCATCTGGGTGGCTTTACAAAGCATTGACCCAAAGCTCAAGAAATTTTATTCAGTGAAATCCAGACACTGAGATAGGCAAAACACAGAAAACATCAATGATACTAAGTTCTTCATAATATCCATTTAAAAAAATAGATAAAATGCAATAAATTCTGATGTGCTGTTTAACATAACACCATTTGACTCATTTTAAATAACATTATTTTTCAGTGTTACAGGATATGTGTTTATAACTTCCAAAACACCGACTGGACAGAGCTATGTAGAGTGTTGTAAGAGGGGACAAACCTGGAGTTGGTGAATTCTGACAGTGAAAATAATACTTTTCAGTCCCATGCTTTACTCCATCACATATTCGGAAAGCTCTTTTCAAAGATGGTTATGCACTGCTGTTCATACCTGTAACTGAAGAAACCGTGGCACACAATGGTGAAATTACTTTTATCAACATCACATCAGAAGTGAAAAGAGAACGCCAGCCACCTGACTCAGCTACTGAACCACAAATAATAGAAGAAATTAACTGGCTGGTTTCAGCCTTCATGCACCTACCTGGCTTCAGGTCAGAAATAGGTTGGTGACTCCGTGAACCCATTTCTGCCTGAGGGTAACTTAGTCTTGTGAGTAGCTTCACTGACATTAGTTTTTATGAAAAGTTTCACTGTATTCAAATGATATCTGAATCACTGCCTGTGCAGTACAAGGTAGGGGGGGGTTAATATACTGTACATGCACTCTGGTCTCAGCGTGTTCATCCTGAGAGGATCTAATTTAATTATTCTCTTTTATATTTATGGCACATTCTCTGGCACTGCTATCTTCCAAATACTCTAACATCTCCCGTATTATGACCAGCTATGTCAAGAATGAATCAGAAGCCATGTTAAGACTTGTTATGTCAGCTTAAAAATTCATGTTATCCAGTACTTGCATACTCACAGAAAGTCTCAGGGCACTTTTTCTTCAGTTAAATTAAATTCTGAAGGTTCCTCAGTAGAAGAGGGTTTCAAGCAGGGAAAAAAGGTCCAGGCTTATCCAGCCAAAACAATCATTATTCTGAACCTTAAACAAGGTCATTCTCCAACTCCTTCCAAAACTCCTGAATTTCTACAGAAAGACTGGCATTTAAAAATCAAAGTGACTTAGCCAAATTTATCCCTACTATAATGAAAATTAAGTCATTAAATCAGTTTTAATATACAATCAATTTGGCAAATTAAGCCTAACATTCATTGATTCTGTTGATTTATAGTGTGAAGAGTGAAGGCTCCTATATGATGGATGTATTCCAATGTCATTTAACAAAGCTGGCAAAAGTTTTATGATTTTATTTCCACATATTTCCCAGATAGCGAGGGATAAACTCACAGCTAAATCTGCATATTTTATTTATGTATCTAAATAGCTATAGCTTCAATATTGTATCTGAGCCCCTCCTTGAATTTAAAAATAGGAAAGAAAAAACCCCACAAAAACCAAAACAATAGCAGGCTGTTTCTTTCTTCCTTTTCTATCAGAAGGAGAAAAAGCTTGATTAGTTTATGGGAGGGGGAGGTTGTTTATTTGCTTGTTTATGTTTGTGTGTGATTGAGTAAATGTCGTGTGTGTATGTTTGGAATTGGCAGGCAGCTCCTTATCTGTGCTGGCAGATATGTCCATGATCTAAAAACAGCCTTTTAGAACTGGCTGCGTGTCTCACTATACACCAAGAAACAATTTCAGCAGCTGCCTCAGAGCCGAGTCCTTCTGAGACCTCCCTGCCCATTTACTGTTGAAGAAAAACATTTTCAAAAGCGATGGGAGTGTCTCACCCACTGATTCAGATATTCATCTTGCCCATCCTCCCCAGCTGAGCAGGATGTTATCCATTACACCTACACGATCCATTGTCAGCAGCATGCTGGGCAGACATACACAGTATAGTACCCCTTGTCCATTAAATCTTTGGCTGGGATTCATCTTACCTAACACTAGACAGCTGCAGGGTAGCTATCTCCAATTAAGCTGGTCACCTCAGGTTTCCTTTACAGTCATATCGGCACTTTTACGGCACAGTCCATCTGACCTATTTTTGGACAACTACTTCAATGTGCAATGAATCACACCCTAAAAGCACAATTACTTTTTTCCTCCACTGACTGAAAAAAAGGGCTTGGAATAACTAGTTTGAGATATGACCACTTTAGTCTTAATACTACAGTAAATCAGGCTACAAATCACAGAATCACAGAATGATTGAGGATGGAAAGGACCTCAGAAGGTCACCTTGTCCAACCCCCTGCTCAAGCAGGGCCACCTAGAGCTGGTTTTCTCTCTTCAAGGCTGGAGAATCCGGAACTTCCCTGGGCAACCCGTGCCAGTGCTCTGTCACCCTCTCAGTAAAAAAGTGTTTCCTGATGTTCAGAGGGAACCTCCTGTGTTTCAGGTTGTGCCCACTCCCTCTAACCCAGTCACTGGGTACCACTGAAAAGGGACTGGTTCTGTCCTCTTTATACCCGCTGTTCAGGTATTTACATAGGTTTTCAAAATCCCCCTGAGCTTTCTCTTCTTCCAGCTGAACAGTCCCAGTCCTCATAGGAGAGATGCTTTAGCCCCTTCGTCATCTTAGTGGCCCTTCATTGGTCTCTCTTCAGTATGTCCATGCCTCTTCTGT